TAGTATCCTCTCAATGTCAAGAATTTCCTGTCACTCGATGGAGATGACCCGAAGAGCTTTCTGGTGAATGAAGCCTCTCTCGGCTTTGGAGCAATACACTTGACCATTGGAGCGCCCGCAACTCAATAGTCTGCCTCGTGGCTCTCAAAAGGTTATGTACTCGAGCATCAACAGTCACCAATACATTATGATGCTACAAGACATGGGGCATTCAAATTACCACTAGCTGGACTAGATTTACTTCCAGGTTTTATCCAAGAGTTTATCGAAATTCTAAAGCTACCTGTCTGGGGCATCTTTCATAATGTGAGGATGGATATATGCGCATGGGCACGAAAAGAGGAGGGATACCAACGACAAGGATGGTGTGTAGAATCATGGCAGAAAAGCTTTGCTAAACTCGAAAAAGTCATGCATAAAGATGCCCTTTAGCATGTGTTTTTTTTTCTTCTTTTTCCATTTGACTGGGATGTCCTTGGGGCTTGGGCAAAGGCGCTGTGATAGCCCAGGGAGTCCTCATCGGTCAAAAGGGTCACTGAGCAGCAGGCGATTAGCACGGCAGAAGGAAAAAATCATTTTGAGGAATGTGACGCAACTCAACTTGGCATGATTCAAAAATTCCCTTTATTTTTTCCAAGAGGCGAAATAGCAATGCTGCCCAACTCCGTCCGGTCCTCTTCACCACAATCCAGCTCACGGGCTCAAGGACCTTGATGGCCACCCTCCTCGCGGTGTCGTCGACCTTGATGGACTGCCATCGCCAACAGCGTCGTTTCCCAGGCCGTCACTGCGACAAATGTCTCAACCATGAATGGGCGAATGGGCCCGGAGGCCCGGGGTCAACGGACGCATGGCAATCTGTTTTGAGCCGACGATATAAGGGCGACGAGACCCCACGCAGACGGGAGTTTGAATTTGATTCTGTCCATGTCTTCGCCTCACCTCTGTGCCTGACTGACTTTGTTTGTTCAAGGAGTGGTGAAGAGCTTTGAAAAACGACTTGAAGCACATGTCGCTTTGTCGACTTGTCGTTTGAACCCGACTTGACCTGGGGCATACGGTCATTTTACTACGACGGCTCGACGCAAAAGAGGCACTCGCAGTTTTGTTACATTTGTTGAACGCAACCAACATACAGATGGCGCTCTCTCGATCCCTCCGCCCAGAAAAAAGAAGAAAAAAAGCCTTTGCTTCTCGTATCTGCCCTCATCGGCTCGACTTGCTCCTCATGGACGGATCGCCGGTTCTCCTCTCGCATGGGCCTCTTTGCCGGTCTCCTCTCTGCAGCTACGCAGCTGAGTTTGGTGTCTCTTTTTTTTTCCCCTCATACTTTTTTTCCCCCCTCATCATTGATACTTTTTTCCCCCTTGTCGGCCCGCCTTTGTGCCTCGTCAGTGCGAGCGCCCTCACCGTCGCTTCCTGCGGCAAAGCACCAATATCGTGGCTCACCTTGCTTACGTCGGCAATCTTGCCTCGACTTCTTCCCTGCCAGGTCGCCGGTATCACAGCCCCCGGCCGGCATATCCTTTTTTCAATTTTTCGACTCGTCATTTGCGGCACCCCTCCTGAAGGGGCAGTAGCATGGGATATTCAGCCTCGTGCGTTTGAAAACAGCTGCATACAACCATGGCTTTGGGTCACAGCTTCTGTCCTGCCATTCAGCTGCTGGGGGCTGGCTTTGGGCCAACGCATTTTGCGGTCTTTTCCACATGCACTGCTGCCGTACCTGGAGCCGTTCCCATGCGACGTCCTTGTTTGACGAGGCGTACGGCTGCATTGCCTATCAGTGACAGGCGGCTAGCCACGTTCACTGTTGTCCTTTGTCATCTGCCTTGGTCCCTTCTACTGTCCACGCGGTGCGTAATCACGGTTCCGCCACTGGTGGATGGCTCATGCGGCCCGTCGGCTTAGTGCTGCTACTCTGGTCAAGTGAGTTCGGCTGGCATTTCCACATTGCTCAAGGCTGAGTTGGCCATGTCTTTTTTTTTTCCCTGTGGTTTTCCTTGTTGTCAAGTGTCTGGCTCGGTTTTCCCCATCACCGGGGATCAAGTGACGATTTTGCTGGGCAATGACAAATACCTCGTCGATGGTGGCGCGCTCGTCCCACGTCGTCGCAACCGCCGAGAGCAACAGGTCTACACGCTGAGAGGCAAAATACGCTGTGTCGTCGGAGGCGTCTCGTGGTTTCCAGACTCGGGTCTTGTCCGGGCTAGGCTATTGGTGCCTGGAAGCCTACATGGTCCAGGCCGGATGGGCCATGGAGGCTGGTGGCCACTCTCATACGGCTTCTGTCGGATCTATCTGCCCGTTGGAGAGACGTGAGGCAAGCCATGTTGACTCTTGTGTTCCCGGCGGCACCAGAGGCTGCCGCGGTTGCCGTGAGAAATACTGGTCCGGCGCAAAACCACGATGCTATTCTTGGAGTATGCCACTGTGAGGAACACGCAACGCTGCCTGTTATTTCTTGCTTTACGAGCTGAGAGAGACATGTCGAATCTTTGCCCCTGCGGCACTTTGATGCCCTGGCAGGGTTGTTGTATGAAAGTATCATACTACCATCAGATAACCATTTCCCCGTATGACATGTTCCCACAAGCCGTGGCCCATCTGGCAACCTGGTCTCGCAAGAAGCGCATCTCCCACACCAACCAATCATGCCCTTTCTAGACCCTACATGATGCCGACGGCCCATGGTTAAGCGGGGGAAAAGCAACAGCTACAGCTATCCTTGTCCAACTGTCTGGCGACTTCCAACAGCTCCCAACCCACGATAAGTGTTTGCAGCAAAGATATTGTACTTGGGTGAAACGTGGTTGGTCCGTCCCCCGTGCGGAAAAGAATCCCCGCACGCTTGCAGCTGAGGGAGCACCAGGCCGGCCATGACCCGGCATTGCAGTAGGTGGCAGTTCCGGTTCTATGAGCTACACCCTCAACCTTGCCAGAGTGGGGGGTGTTGAAGCAACCGTCTTCTCCCCGTCATGAGATGTCTCGAACTTGTATCTTGTAGCAGCTGGGCGCATATGCTCCGTGCGGGAAAGGGTTGGCAAGACCGGGAAGGGGGGGAAGAGGAAGGATCAAGAAGAAAAAGTATAAGTAGAGGCTTGAGGAACCGACATTATGCAGGTCTTTCTCCCCCCTTCTTCTATATCAGTAACAACCAATACAAAAGCTTCAGTATCACAGCTACAAAAACTACAAACTCCGTTCTTCTTCGACGAGAAACCACCATTTGAATCATTTCACAATGGCTCCCTGGTAGGCACTTGACCTGGTGGTTTTGGGGGGAGGGCACGACGTCTTGTCTCGGGCCCCTCAACACCAAAAGATGAAAGCCGGCGATGTGCAAAAGGTCTAACAAATGCCACAGCAACTGCTCCACCTGCTCCTGCTCCGGCTCCTGCGACGGATGCTCCTGCTCCAGCTGCGGCGTAAGTTTTCTTCCCCCATCTGTGTTTTTCATTGTTGCGCCCTGGGATACCCGGTGCTGACCTTGTTCCCGACCCGCGCAGCACTAAATGCCCCCGAGACGAGCCCGCGACGGCGCACCGCCAAGCCGAGCATGCTTCTGCCTACAAAGCCGAGGGCAAGTCGTGTAGCGAGCTGGGCAGGAGGCTCGGATACATTCCAAGCGCAGGCGTGGGACTGTTAAACTCGGCGCTTTGAGTCCTAGGGTACTACTACTTGTCAATACAAAACTCATTTCGCTGAAGACGTGTCGTTGCCGTCCCCCGTCTGGGACTTTTGATGCTCCGTGACTCTTTTCTTTTTCTTTTCCCCTCGCGGGGTGAAGCCCATGACTTGCAGCTTTGTGTTGTGCGCTCTTGGTTCTCGGCCCGCAGAGACAAGACGTTGCCGCGTGTGTTTCCTGTCGTGCTCCGAGGACGGGCCTCATCCGATGGTGTGCTGCACCTCTGCGTTTCTGCCCATGACGTGGCGGCGATGCATCCGCTTTTGGGAGGTCACACGGCGCGCGCAGTATGCGGAGTGCGAAAATGGCTTGGGGGATCATGCATGCATGTGTGTGTGTGTGCGTGGCTTGGGTAGCGTTTTTGTGAGGCATTTTTTTTTTTTTATCGCGGCAATGTGTGGTTGGGCCGCCGTGGGCATTGAGTGCTGCCGCATTGCCGATGTGCATTCTTCCGATGGTTGCTGCAATTGGGTGGTTTTTTTCATGCCCGACTAGTCTTTGATGTTGTCTTGGATTTTATTCCTCGGCTCGGGCGGCTGCAGGCTTGCCGGGGTCTCGGTCCGGGCCGTGGCGGCGTCGGGGTCGAGTGAGATGAGATGGAAGACGGACAAATGTACATCAGTTGCTTGGCTTTGGTTGTGAAGGCTCGAATGCTGTGTTTTGAGGTATACGGGCCGAAAGACTCTACGAGGAGGCTGAATAGTCGGCTGGCACTGCTGCGTCGTTGCAAGTCTTGTAGAACGCGGCCTCTTGGCAACGACTGTCATGAGATCCGAGTGGCGCGTCAAGAGCAGAAACTGCTGGACGCACGAGTCACGGGGCGCCCAGAACGCACTGCGCTTGTTTGAATGCTCTATGCTTAAGTATACGAACAGGGGCTGCGTGTGCGTTTTGCCAATACAGTCGCTGCTTCTCACCATGCCATGTCGAGCCAGAAGACAACTTGTTTCCAACAACCTCTCATCTGTCGGTGGCATCGTCAGCTGTTGCCCTTTTTGTTGCAAACGGTAGGAGAACAAGGTTGCCCTGATTCAGATTTCATATGGTTTCCTTGTCCAGACCAACCAATAGAGAACCCTTGCTGGTCACGAAAAGGGCATCTGCACTGGCGGTGAGGAGGCCAGTGCAAGGAGCCAGGGCAGGGGGGAGAGGGCGCCAGTCACGTAAACTGATTCTAGAATGCCGGTGGTTGCAAATGCGTATATGGATCTGGGGTGCTTCAAGATTCCACAAGGGTGGTCTCGGCCGAGCAAGTCACGCAAGACTGAGCCATGTACAAGGAGCTTGGCAACGTCAAGCATCACCATTTACTTCACTTCTGGCGTCGAGCCAAAGAGACCAAGAGTGGTGTTCTCTCCCAGCCAAAATACTCCACCATGTCATCCACCCAGTTTTCGCAGCTCTCGTCAAGCTTCATGTCAAAGTTCCACAAGAGCCTAGCCAGGATCAAACGCAACTCGAAGTAGGCCAGGTTCATGCCAATGCAACTGTGAGGACCGACGGCAAAGGGCTGGGCAGCCTCCTTTTTGTCCCCCCTGAAACGGGGGTCATCAAGCCAGCGCTCGGGGTGGAATTCGTCCGCGTCGGTGAAGAAGCCGGGACAATGGGACATGCTCCAATGCCAGATGCCTGAAACAAAGAAAGTTGGCTATTTGTCAGTTGGAAAATACAACAGCTTGGAAACAACGTTCAACATACCAACGGTGGTCTGTAGAGGAGGTGGCACAGATTAGCTACACAAAAACTGCGGTGGAAGGGATAGGGCGTCGAAACATACATGTTCGGGAATGAATTCACCAGCAATGGTAGCACCTCCGGCTGGAACCTTGCGTGGCGAAACGCCCGCAAATGGGGGGAACACGCGCAGGGATTCAGTAATGACGGCATTCAGATACTTGAGACGGCCAGTTCCAGTTAATGTGACGTCTTCCTCGCTCGAAAAGGCTGACCGGACTTCCCTGACGGCCTTGGCCATTGCGTGCGGATTCTTGAGCAGATGATACGTCGTGCCACCGAGAGCACTCGAAACGGTTTCCGCACCGCCGAGAATCAGAGCAGTGCAGTTGGAGGTAATCTCAGTGTCGGAAAGGACTCGGCCACGTTCGTCGCCGCCGAGCATGGCAGACATGTAGTCGGGGCGACTGGCGCCCAAGGCGCGACGTTTTGCAATCTTGGCGTCGGTGAGCTGCTGGTTCTCGCGGAGTCTCCTGGCGAAGCCCCTTGGAGTGATGAGAGGCAGAAACGGGAGGAAGGCTCTGCTGATTCTCTTTAGGCAGCCTACTAGGATTACGAATCTGGTGACCTCGAAGACTAAGGATGCCCAGGACCGATGATCCCCGCTCTCGAGAGATCCTGTTGATCATAGTTAGAACGAGACTTTTCCCATTCCGTGACGTGGACGGAGATTTGTGAGAGCATGGCCGCACCGAAAGATTCACCAAAAGTAAGGTCACCTTGAAGCCAAAAATCAGTATAAAACACAAGACAAGCGGGTTGATTCAAAAGCACGCTGGGAATAGTCACCAACCTATAATGTCAAATGCAGTAAAGCTGTACCAGCAATTCATGTCAATCATCTTTTTGCCGTCCTGGCAGCGCTTGGACAGCTCCGATATCAGCAGATCGACATGGGCTTTCAGCAGCGGCTCCTGCTTCTGAAAAGTAGACGCTGAAAATCCTCGTGACAAGATCTTTCGCATACGCGAATGGTCCTCACGCTTCCAAACACCGAGTAAGTTGTCTTTGAAAGGTTCGTTGAATACGGGGTCCCTGATCATGTCCGCCTGGCCGAGCTTGCGGTGGCCGCCAATGTCATGCCAGGCAGAAACGGACTGAAAGGAAAGCTCGTCGGGAGCGATTCGTACAATGGGGCCATACCTCGCATGCAGCTCAAGAATCATGTCGTGAGACTTGCCGCTGATGATGGCACGGGAGACACCCCAGCGGGTGATGGCCCAGAGCTTTGGCCCGGGAAATTTGCTCAGAGGATGGAAGTAGAGTAGGTATATGGGGTTCAAGACGAGAATCCATGCCAACAACTATGATGATGTTAGTTTATATTTTCGGGACCATGACGGGATGCTGTGATTGCACATACGGCGGCGATGGCAAATATTGCGGTTGAGCGGTTGGCAAGTTGCCCCAAGCCTATAGAAGGAAGGGCCGCCATTACAAGTTGGTAAGCCATGAAACCGAGTAATGTTGAAGAAACCGGTAAAGTGGAAGAGAATGTGGGCTTCCAAGCTCACGGGCCTGGTGCCTTTTATCTTTCTTCTGAGAGCTGCAGGTTTCTAGACTACGGTAGCAGAGGGCGTGTTACAATACATGTGAGCCGCTGTTTACGAGCGGGGTAAAATGCAAGTCGATAAATATTGACGATTGCAAATGCCCCCGATGCTACTGTTTATTTCGTCACCTGGGCCTTGAAAGGCGGAGAGGCCTGACGTTGTCTGTGTGACTCGATCGGAAGTCCTCGTCTTGGGCCTCCATTGGAAGTAACTTGACTGGGCGCTTCGGCGACGGACGAGACCATGGGTACAACTTGTATCGAGCCCGCATTGTACAATCATCTCCCGTTCATCAAAAAATCTCCAAGTCAACTGCCAGCCAACACATACGATTCCTACAAGCCCCAAAATGGTTCTCAAGCTCCATGACACTGCCATGTCCACGGCCCGTGTGCTAGTCACCGTCCTGGAAAGGGAGCACCCCTATGAACTCGTATTCGTTGACATGGTCAAGGACTCAAGGGCAACCAAGCTGATATTTCATTCACTCTGCGGCATATGGATTGGGCTACTACAGACTTTTGGCAGGTGATATGGACGGGGTGGCTACCCGAGTGCTGCCTTTCTTCGGAGATCGCTGACCAGGGAGGCCCCAGCGCTCTCAACGTGTCAATACTATGCGCCTGCGGTCACTGCTCTGGGAGTTCGCCTTCCAGAGGCCGCGAGATTCCCCAGTAACCGGGAAACCAATAGCCTGATGGCTGCGTTCTCGACAAGCGGGGAGCCTGGGATCAGGTTACCTTGACACATAAAGTTGGCCATTGGTCCGGGCTCTTTCACACATGGGAGGAAATTTGCAATCATGTCGGAGACTATATCGATGATACCCTTCCTGGTCTGTCAACTTGTCGCCATGAGCAGTCTAGTTGCCCAAATGGGGACAATTTCATGAGCTACGGGGACAAACGTACCAAGTTCACACGGGACAGATTCTTCGTACATGGCCTCTGGAGTAGATTCCGCTCTGGAGCTTATTCCGCAAGACGTGCTGATGAAACAAAGGCTACTATGGTGGTCTAGTAGCACTATAGTTTAGCTATGATGTTATTAAATTATTATTAATATAAAATTACCAAAGTAATTATTTAGCTTTATTATTAGAAAATTACTAGTTCAACATACATATACGTCACCGTGGTTTCGGGAGAAAACTAATCAACAACGCCCCAGCCTTTTCGGCCCAGATCATGGCGGTTTGCAATGGTCGTTCTTGGGCAGTCAGTGGGGAGGCTGTTTCTCATCTTAGGCGAGGCTTGAAGCGATACTCGTTTCGGTTAACACGGGACCATCGGCCCGTTCCAAAACGCGGGGCTGACTGGGGCAACCGCTTCGACGCCTTAATGTCAGACCAATCACCAGGTCCATAGGCCGCAACACCGGGACTTGCTCCGTACCCCGCCATCATGGCGTGGTGGGCCTCGTTGGCGACCAACCTGTCAAGGCATGGGGGGGCCAAATGTTTGTGTTAGATGTTGGTGGTTCCATTTACCGACCAGGGCTCCGAACATAGATGGGTAGGTGATTGCGGGCGGCTTCATCCGCGTCGTCTCGTGATAGTCTAGCTTGGCGGTCATTTGTAGGACTGACAACGCGCAAGTCAAGTGCTACTAACAGATGTATCTTCTAAGCTTCTTTTCTTCGATGGCCGTTTATTTGGTTTCCATATTTTGGATCGCTACTTCATTTAATTCGTGGGTAGAACGGATTTGAACAAGGGAACAGCTGTATACATGGATAGAGATAGTAGACTTCTTGGATGGAACATGGCTCCTAGTATTTACACCGCTGCTGTTCCTGTTGCTTCTCACCATTTCCTGGGCCAATGTATAACGTCACTGTTGTAGAGTATGTGTTTTCTACAATAATCCGTTGTACAGGTGCCGTTGGCCTAGAATTCAGCGCATCTCGCGTTGCCAACATACGAACTTCCTAGGTGGAATCTGTGATTTGTCAAGACAAGATCTTTGCTAATAGAAGCAAACCTCGTGGCACAGACCACCCCTCCGCAGGTGAGATATAATACATCCATAAGTAGCAGTCGCCATCATCAGTAGTTGCTTGGAGAATAGCGATTGTTTGCCCGCTTATTTTGCCCTGTAGCATAACGGTTGACGGACCGTTACATGGCGAATGCCCTGCTGGGGGTCCAAGGCCGAGAAATGTTTCAGATGGCGGGACTTCATATTTGCTTTCCTGTAGTCTTTTCTTGTCAAAAACACAAGGATTGCTCGTACATGGCAAGTTGACGGCGCCACTCTTATCGGCCACTATATTGTAATATCACCCTCGATTAATAATAATTCAATGAATAGACCTACATTCTTATTTAGATACCTCCCAGTTTCCTAATTATTCATCAATCTTTTTGCCAAATACCGACCTGTGCAGACTCGGCAACATGTATTATTTGACAAGGTCTTCTGCGCAGATATTGTTTCGAAGATTGAACTTCTTCTGCCAGACAGCAAAAAGCGGTAAAGAGGAGTTGATGAAGGACATGGACGTTCTTCATGGAGAATTAGAACCTCGAATCTGCATCAGGCGAGCGTCGATGGCCTGCCATGGCAGATCAAATTATGGAATTGCGATCTGAGATAGGTAAAGCATGCGCTGAAAGAGGCTCGAGTTTAATTTGGATAGGAAATGCAGTGAGTTGCAAGAAATTAGGAGATATTCTTGCTGCTATAGCTGTGAGAGCGGGCTCGCAGCCATTGAGACTATTTCTAGCTTGTCGGAAAGAGCAGTCGGTTACTAGAAATGAGCATCGTTTTGTAATGAGAGTTGGATTAAATTAGCTATCGTGGGTAAATTAAGCTAGTCAAGTAGTACTCTCTACTTTACATAATCACTTGTGAGCAGGCTGCTTGCCGTCTTGAACCCCAATATTCAATTATGCGGGTCGCGACATGGACGATCCTGGCGAATCCCAAATCTTCCTCCCAACGCGTCACGTACATAAGCCAACGACACACAACCAACTCCATCCCTACGATGCAGTCAGTGTAACGCCGCCTTTCTGCACATGCGCCATGGCAGCTTCGGCGATTCCGCAAGATCTAATTGATCCGCTGCATCCCACGCAGACACACGAGCTTGGCTCCGACCAGTCGCAGTCGCACAGCTCCGAGTCAAACCCATCTGATTCAGGATCGCTGCAAAGAGCTCTTGCCGGTGACGACAATGCTCTGGTTCCAATGCACTATCCAGCCCTAAAAGAGGCATTCCTAACGTCCCTCGAAGAAAAGAAAGATGTTATCGAGGCAACAGTTCGGCACCACCTGCGCGTTCGGAGTTGTCACCTCGGTGCCCGCGAGGTCTGGAAATCTGGCTCTTTCAACGTCGTTCTTCCGGTCCATATTTCAGCCGGCTGGTCTGTCTTCATGCGTATCCCATTCCCGTACCGGATTGGCGAAGACCAGTGCCCAGGGAACGTTGAAGAAAAGCTCCGCACCGAGATTGCCACCTATATCTGGCTACGTGAAAATTGTCCGGATATCCCAATCCCCGAATTGCACGCCTTTGGGCTGCCAGACGGGTCAGCGGTAAAATAGCCTTGGTAGCCGTTTACGCACCTGTCCTTTCGTATTGACATTTTATAGTTCTCACATCCACTCCACACACCTCTCTGGGAACGAACTTGGTGGGCGTTGAAGCGGTATGCTTGCCTGCTACTCGGGCGCCCGGTACCCGTCCATCATGTTAAACGAACAAGTCGTCACTCAATCAACCCTGGCTTTTTACTCATAAGCGAAGCGCGCGGCAAAAAGCTAGCCTGGTCGTGGCTAGATCACTTCCAAGACAAGGCATACCAAGACCGGTTGTTCCGCAGCCTTGCGCGTATATCACTCTCGCTGAACTCGGCTCCCTTGGCGCGCATTGGATCATTAAAGCTTCAGCCGGACGCATCCATTGCCCTGTCTAACCGTCCGCTTAGCCTCTATTTTCAGATGTTGGAGAACGAGGGCATTCCAACAGGTATCCCGCGCCATCGTACATACGCCCAAGTCGAATCTTACCTCTCAGATCTTCTCTCCTTCCAGGATAACAAACTTCGTCATCAACCCAACGCAGTGCATGATCAAGAGGATGGCGAGAGACAGCTCGCTGCCCTCACCGCCCTGCGCGCCACAATGCACCACTTTGTCCGGCCAGAGCATCGCGATGGACCATTCTTCCTTCATCTTACAGTTTTACACCAGCAAAACATCTTTGTTGACCAAGATTGGAATATTCAGACAATCATCGATCTTGAGTGGGCGCACACCGTGCCTTTAGAGATGCAGCTTCCCCCATACTGGCTTTCGTCAAGGATATCAGTCGACAGTTTTGAAGACCAGGCCGCCATTACCGACTATGAGGCTGTGCTAGAAGAATATTGGGCAATTTACGAGGCCGAGGAGAGGAAGCGCAACGGTACCGTCGTCCAGGTACCACTTCAGCGTGACATGTGGGCAAGAGGGAGCTTTTGGTACTTTCATGCCGTCAGGATACCAAAGGGCATGTACACGCTGTTCAATAGGCATATCCAGCCGCTATTTAACAAGGAGCATCCCGAAAAGCAAATATTCGATAATGTCTTTTATTGGTATTGGGGATTTAGCGCACAGGATTTGATAGACAAGAAGCTCAGAGACAAGAATGAGTACATAGCCAACGTAAGAGAGGCTTTCGCGGAAGACTCATGAAGAGAGCGAATGAAAGTCTGCTTTAGTCTAGCCAGGCCCTACCTTGGCACATTGTGTCATGAAGTGAAGGCTATGTGTGATGGAACTGCAGATTCTGACCTTTGCAGGATAATAGGATATACGTTATTTAATAAGATGCCTGGCAAGTATAATCACACTAGTCCGCTATTATCCACCGACCGATATATATACCGCAATGTGATCTCCATCTGCTCGAGGTAATCCACTTTTGGCAGATTCGCAACAATTTCAATGTCAACTGTCCCCTGCAGAAGCAAGCCACTGAAGCTAGCCCTGGCCGAGCTCCCCATGTGGATTGAGCTGGTTATCCACAAGGATCGGTCGCTCGAGATTAATTTTTCCCGTTCCTGCATGGCGGTGGGCTTTTTTTGACGTCGGTGGCTCCAGTAAACTCCAGACGCCGAGGCTGTTCTCCTTTTATGCTTGCTTTGACGACAATCCCCTTGGCTTTCCTTGCGTGTGTGGTTTTTCCTTCGCCCTCAACTCAATTGCCGAATCGCCACAAGCTCGCTTTGCATGCTTTGCGTCTCAAGGCTACTAGCAACTCAAAAGGAAGGAACGAATCATTACGAGCAACTATGCGTGAGTGCGCTAGTCGACAAGCCAAGTCACCGTAATTAATACCCAACTTGGTTAGTCCACCAAAAAAAAAAGGAAAACAGGAAAACATCTTCAACCTGGCTAATCTCAGGCACACACGTCACAGCAGCCACAAACCACGCCTCGCAAGCACGCCGCGACGGCCGCCTCTGCAATTCCAGCCCGCCATGTCTGCTGCCGACTCGCCGGGCAGCCAGCCGGGCCAGGACAAGGCCATCGAGGCTGTCACGGAGCGGAAACAGCAATTTGGCCGACCGACTCGACCAAGGCTCCCCGGGTGGCTGAATCACTTCAACGCCAACGACCTCAAGGTCGCTTTTCGCTGTTGGGTCGCGGTATGGGTTGCCACAATTCTCATCTTCATCGACCCCGTGCTGCAAAACATTGGCATCGCCACCTTCTTCGGCGCCATCGTCCTGTACATTGTTCCGCCAGCGGGCATTCTGATGATCTACCTGCTCGCCTCGTTGTCGCTGCTCCTGGGCATGTGCCTGGCTTGGGCTTGGGGCCTCTTGTCCATGAAGGCTGCATTGGCTGTGCGGCCAGACGAGGAAACCCAGGCACTTCTGCAATCTCTTCGGCAGCAGGCCGGCATCCTTGCCAATCAAACAGGCCAGCCGCCCGCCGCCGTCGTTCAGAAGCTCGTCTACGACGGCTTCATGCTTGACGCCCGCGTGGTTGTCATTTACTTTGTCATGTGCTGCGTCTTCATCTATGCGCTTGCCCGGCTGCGGTATGCCAATGGCAAGATGATTTTGTTGCAGTTGTTTGGCACCATTGTCATCGACATCTTCTTGCTGACCGGCCCAGTCTTGACCAAATTCAATTCCAAGCTCGCCCAGGTGTTTGTGAAACCAGGGGCCATCGGAATTGGCCTGGGAGCAGTGTGTTGCCTCTTCGTCTTCCCCCAGTCGACGTCATATGTGGTTTTGGGACAAATGGAACAGTTGATCCGTATGCTCGAGGCGCCCATGGACTCAACACGACGGTACTTTGCTGGCGATGAAACGTTGGGCGATGCACAGTTGAGAGCATCCAAAGGTGCTATCATCAGTCTCTTCAAGGCCATGGAGCCGGCGCTTGCGTTTCTTCCACTTGACCTTTCACGGGGTAGATGGAACGCCGACGACGTCAAAAGTTTACAGGGACGGGTCCGCGAAGCCATTGTCGCCGGTGTTTTCCTCTTGGATTTTCACATCACGCGCGTGTCAGCGGCTGCCAGGGCTGAAAGGCTTGGAATGGTTCGTCCGACTCCCAGTACACAAGACTCCGGCGATGGCAGCGACAAGGAAGGGCACGACCAAGAAAAGACTTCATTCAACACTGGCCTCGTTGACGCCTTGAAAAGCCCAGAGCAAAGCTCCATCCGTCCCGGATTGCTAGAGACGCTCAAAGATACGACAGCCGAAATCCTTCAAGTCAACTCGCGGGCTATCAAGGCCGCCGCTGACACAGTTCACATCATAAACACGGGACGATGGTACCTTGGCACCGCGCGTACGAAGCGGCTTGACAGCCTCAAGGAAGAATTGGCCGAGCTCCGGGCTAAGCTGCAGTCTGTCCGAGAATCATGTGTTTTCAAGACTAATGATGCGGTAGTTGGTGCCCATGCCGACTTGTTCGACGAGCAAGGCCAGTTGAAGAATCGAAAGGACGCCAATCCCCTGTCTCTCAACGGCATCATTCTCTCCATGGTGCTCGAGGAGCGCATTGTGGGCACGGCAGTTACTACGGAGGCTATTTTGGACCACATCATGGAGCTGCTTGAACTGCGAACTACAACACGCGTTTGGGCCCCGTCTAGACTTCGTTACGCGTTTTCTTGGCTATTCAGTGGCCGCGTCGCAGCCCCGGTTGCTGGTGCCTCTACGGTGCCCGCTGAAGACCCTGACGATATTTTAGAACAGGCCGAGGAGACGCACAGACGGCTGCGTCTTGTTTGCAAAGGCAACGCTGCTCCCAGGAAGCAAAGGGGGTTCCTTACGAGAGCAGTGATTGGCACATACAAATGGCTTACCAACCCCGGTGGCATGTACGCTCTGCGCATGGTCATTGTGACCATTGCTCTGTCCGTTCCGGCTGTGCTCCCAAACACGGCTGGCTTCTTTTACCGCGAGAAGGGCATCTGGGCTGTGATTATGGCACAGACGTGCCTCCTCATGTACATGGCCGACTTTACCTTTTCCCTCGTATCCCGAGGACTAGGAACCATTCTCGGCGGCGCCTTGGCCCTGGCAGCTTGGTATGCGGGTTCGGGCAACGGCATCGGCAATCCATACGGCCTCGGGGCCACCACTGCGGTTGTCTCATTCATCCTCATGTGGTGGCGTCTCTACCTGCCACCGGCGTTCGCCCAAGCCAGCATCATGACTGCCTCAACGTTTGTGTTGATTATCGGATTCAGCTGGGACCAGAATCACATCACGCAGTACGGATTGCCTGGCGTCGGCTACGTGGCGTTCTGGAAACGCCTTGTCACGGTGCTCGTCGGTTTCGCGGCCGCCCTTATCGTCCAAATCTTCCCCCGGCCTCCCTCGGCGACGCGGTACGTTTGCAAAACGCTTGCCAACACCGTTCGGTCCATCACCGACCACTATGCTCTGCTTGTATCGCAATGGAGCCAGTCAGATCGGGAGGGACAGAACCTAGGTGCCGCGGCCGCAGCTGAGAAAATCACCCTCAAAGTCTCGGAAACGCTTCTGGCCCTCACTGACGCTATTAGCCTGCTGAAGGTGGAAGTTAGCTCCACGCCGTTTGACCACAAGGTTTTGTTCACCACGAGGGAGCACTGCAGCAGGATGAACCAATGCCTGGGCAAGTTGTTGGTTCTGTCATCTACATTGCCGAAACACCTGCAAGATCGTCTCACCAAGACGGTGGGCATGATTGATGACGGCGTTGTTGGGAATGTCATGTCCGTCTTGACGATTGTTGAATCGTCCTTGCGGACGGGTGCGCCACTGCCGGAGAGGCTACCGGCGCCACTAGTGCATAGCTGTTTTGTGGCGTGGTATACGCAGCATGAGCGTGCCGAGTTGAATACTGACCTTGTTAAGAGCGAGGACTACAGAAGATACTGTGTTGCCGTGTCGTGCTACGTGACTTTCCTGTCGACCGTCGATGACCTGGTGGACGCGCTGAAGAAGACTTTGGGAGAGGCTCACGTCATACACCACTGGGAGGAGTCCGTGTAAGTAAAGTCGACTGGGTGTATGATTTTCCGGGAGAAGGGGGAAAGGGAAAAATAGAACTCACATATAAAGAACAAAGGTCACACGGCCAAAATCTGACGTGAACAAATCTCATTAATAATAGCTGGAAATAGCTCATAATATTTCTAATACATGTATCAATCTTTGCGTGTCATCATCTATGAGTGTATCCCAGACCTCTCCGCAACATGAACATCCCCCTTAATCCAAAGGGTTATGCCAGCCCATTCGGCAACCACCTCAGTTCACACTGCCGTAGACTCTGGTCATCCCCGTTCCCCAAGGACACATAAGATGCGTCTGCTTGCAGGCCATGATACATGTCAGTCCCCGTAGCGAGACCTTGCGTATCCACGTCCATGCCGGCCAGAAACTCGCCGCTGGTATAATGTTCGAACCCCGCGTACTGCTGGGCATCGTCGTGAATATGCAGCAGCAGCAAGGGGTCAATGGCGAAATTGGCCGCGGCGCTCGCAGGCGCAGCGTCAAACACGTCCAGCGACCCCATTCTCCACGGCACCGGCGAGACAGTCTTGTCCGAGAGCGTGTCGCTGGAATCGTAGTCGGCGCCGCTCACGGCGCTTGTGCCGCCGACAAGAGTGTGCTTCCGGCCAGACCGGGGACGGGGCTTGCATATCGACGACGGGCCTGGGCTCGACTTGGAGAGGCGCGGCGACCTCTTTGGCTTGCCGCAGCTTGTATATTCGCAGGCGAGGCCTTTGCAGCGGCATCTGTTGCAGGCGTTGTAGCCGTCGCCGTCGCAGCGCGTCTTGAAGACGAATTTGCATCAACATTTTTGGCAAGATCCCAGAGTCAAAGGAGGGGGGGCAGATGTACCTTTTTCTCGCGACAGGTTTTGCAAGCTTGGATTTTACTAGACCGGCCGTTGGCAGGGTCGTAGGATCGCGGGACGGCGACCTCCTTTGTGTCCGAGTCGTATCTCCACGCGCTGAGCATGGCTGGTTGCCTTCAACCCGCGAGCAACGGTTGTGTGTGCGATTGAGCTGTGGGGAAGCTTAAAAAAGAAGACAATCTTGATTGGAAAACATCTTCAATGCCGTTTACAGGATGACGATATAAATATATATCCTCTGGCCGATGTGAGGGGCCCCAACTCGCGCCTATCTCTCTGGCCTCACTCCGTCTGACACCCCCCTCGCGATCCAACAGTATCCGAATAGGCCAACCGGGGACTTGGTGGGTTCCGCTGGGGAAAAAAAAAAGTAGAAAGTGGTGCATGCGGCGAGTGCGTCCTCCATTTGTCAGGATGAGCCACGTGCCGTAGGGCTGGACTTTTGGTAATAAGAGACTGGAAGAATAACTAGTTGTCAACCGGTGTGGTGACTTGCGCCCAAACGGGTGTCAATTGGCGATGACGAGAACGAGAGCGATTGGCTGGGCCGAGACCCCGAAAAGATGAGAGGCTTATCAGGGGACAGGGGTGTGAGTGGGTTGGGGCTGTGGGGGCTCGTTCATACGATGATGCCATTGGCTGGGAGGGTTTTTGGAAACGCAGTGTGGGGTTCTGCGACTAGTCCGGATGGGGAGCGGACCGACGGGAAGTGCATTGAGATCTTTGAAGTTTTGTAATGCTCCCAGGTGCCGCGCTTCCGTACGTGGTACGTAGCTGGTCCATCAACGCCAACTGGGACTCTGGGAGGCAGGCTTGGTGAATCACTCTCGATCTTTTTCTTTCTTCTTTCTTTCTCAAAGCGGGGCCGAAAAGGCGGACCGCAGCTTGCTGTGACGGCCAAAGCGGGTACTATAACCAACCACTGATGCAATTGCTGCGCCTTTGAATGCTACCTCGGCTTCAGGCTCCCGGAGTCGCCTCGCCGACTGTCCACGGGGCGCAAATCGATGCCAGTTTGCTTGTCCTCAGCCCTACTCTGCTGTGCTGTGTTTCTCGTAACCAGTGGGGTGGCTTGCAACTCGCAAGACGGGCGGGCATACACTTTGGCATCATCACCATCTGTCAGCCGCCAACCCCCCCCCCCCCCCTTCCCC